TACTAGCTTTGTTGACAGAAAAATCTACTGGGAAATCTATTCCTAAAATTTATATCAATAAATAAAAAAGTGAAAATGCAGAGAACATTTCAGAAAGCAAAAAGCAGCTTTGGCAGTCCTCTGTTTAACTGCAAAACACAACATTATGAATAACACTACCATGAAGCAAATTTTATATTCTAAAATTACTTGAAGTACACTACTCAATTGAAGTAAAATGCTAGAAGTAAATGCTAAAATAATTCAACTGGGGAACATTAAATACATCTTTGGAGAATACTATTAACACAAGAAATACTCTTAAATTACATATTAGATATGATAGCTAGATTTTCCATAGAGACATACTAATGCAAATTCTTCCAGTAGGTTAAATACATTTCTAAAACACATCACTAACTTTTCGAAATTTTAAAACAAATCTACTCCCCCTTAACCTATAGTTTTACAGAATCAAAGCCACTTTATCTCTCAGAAACAAGTCCTTTTGAAGCCAGGTACTGCCACCAAGTGGTGGTGAAATTCTGTATGCTAATCTAATTATTCCCCATGTGTAGAGCACACAGAACTGAAAACGTTCCCCAGTTGCCAAATATGAGCAATGGTGTACTAACACAAAGACATTTAGAATTAATCAAAGTAGAACCTACAGAACTTTCATATCTAAATCTAAAACTGACTTTCAATTTAAAACAAAGGTTTTTCCTACAATTCAGTCTTTTTGTTCAGACACTTTTCATGAGCAGTTGGGTAAAGAACCCTTTCTTCCAATACAAATCCAATACATACCAATGAACTGACTCTAATAATTAGCTGTTTTCTGTAACTCTATACAAATCCACAGTGATGGCCACAGAAGTCTTATTTTCACCATAATCCCAAATTTCAGAGAAAGGTGAATTCAGTAACTAAAGCTGAAGATGTCTTAAGGTATAAACCTCCAGCTTGTTATTTGGGTAAGCTACTCAGTGTACTTTTGTTAGTATGCAAAGATCACAACCAGAGTGGGAAGGATTTTTAGAAGTCAGGTATATTTGACTGTTTTTACAGGAATATTTCTCAAGTTCATTAAACTATATTATTAGTTACCTGCACAAAGTAGTCCTGAAGTGTCAGTCCTACAGATCATAGATGAGGAGAACTTGCATGACAACAACACGATGCTGCATAATGGATTTACAGTGTGACTTTCTTAAAGACGGCATTAGAAACAGTTCAACCCAATTTTATTGAGACAGATCTTTGAAGATGACACACCTTTCAACTTCGGAGAAATTCTGACCTTATTTCTTATTATATTAAATAAAAGTTGTAATTCTTTTTATCCAGCATGACCTGAAACACATCTAGTAATTTCTCATGCTTTTTACTTTTTTGGCTGATAACTATTTGCTGTACATTTTTCATAGTATCATAAATTTTAAGATTGTCTCTCCTACTAATGTAGAGACTTAACTCCTAAAGCATGCTATCTTTCCCAATTATAAAAAGACTATCTTAAATGAACAGTCTGCCTTTACTCATTTAATTTAGAATCTTAGTGTAACAAATTATATTAGTGATATTCACTCATCCTTACCAGCAAACTGGCTCTCATCATCCTCTATATTCTTTCAGTGATCAATGGTTAAAAAGCTAATAAGATTGTAAGTAACAGTGCCAGGTAATGCCAAAAAAAATCTTGCACCTTTTCAGAAAAATTCTGCCAACTTGGAGAAAGCTGTCATCCTTACTGATGAGCAGGCAAGAGTTTTTAAAAGACCTGAAGCTATATAACTCTGTACATGACCAGATAAACAGACAAAACTCATAATTCCAATTGACACAAAAAGATAAGGTCGCTCCCCTAATAATTGTTGTTTGTTTGTCTGTTTGTTTTAAAAAGTCATCACCATAAGTGATTTAATGGCAGAAAGCTCAACATCATGTTACCAGGGAAATACGAACAGGATGACAATTGTATGAGATTCCTGTCTGAGCCAGAGAAACACAAATCCCACATACTCACATTTATCCTGTGCAGAATTCTGTATATAATCTATCCTTCTTCGACATCTGTGGTGGTATTATTCATTTATTACATCCTCTACTTTTAGGTAAAGCAATACTGAATACATTAAAGACAGTTTCTGGAAGCAAGTATGTTTTTGCCTGATATCTCAAATGCATAAAATCTGACCTCACTCTACACACTGTTACAGGGAAATTCAGCACAAGCATCTACCTTCTGTAACCCTTCCTGTTACATAGAAGTGTGACCCAGTATACTGTTAACACATTGAGACCAAGATTATTTTTTCCTAACTTTCCCCCACATTTGAAACAAGATAGGTCCTCCTATGGAGCTCAGAAGATGCAGTCTGGAAGTCAGAAAACCTACGAACAAAGACTACAGTTACCCCAATAAAGTACATTCACTACTTGTAAATACTATCTTACACCTGTGTGTTTTTAACTGGCAATAGATTTTTTTTTTTAAATTTCCAAAAGTCAGGATATCATACCTTTTATATTTCCATTAGGAAAGAGAATGATTTGCAATTAGAAAAACAAAAACCCTAAATCCTTTACTCAAATAAAACCTACATAGAAAGCACACTATCAGAGTCACTAAGAAATGCATTCTGGTCAAGAGTACAAGAAAAATGTTTGAACAAATCATTAAATCACATTTTCAGCTATTGTTTTAAATGACATAAGCTTACACAAAAGGACAAGTCTGCGCTGAGTTGTGGGAGTTACATTCATTGTTCAGAAGTCTACAAGATGCTGCAGTCACTACACTGATGAGTGGAGACAGAAGACAGAGGCAGTTGGGAAATACAGGTTGTCCTTTAAAAAGAAGTCTTTCAGTCATCCTTGCTGCCCTTCTCTGAACCCTCTTCAGCTCTGCTGTGTCATTTTTCAGTCACAGGAGTAGACTAGTACTCAAGAAGCAACACACATTGCAATGCAATGCATCTAGGGTACACCACAAATCTGTATAACCGGATCTGGTTTTTGTTTTGTTCTGGTTTTTGTTTTGTTCCCTGATAATGCGTAATATTTTCATTGATTTACTGACTATTCAGTTGTCATTTTCACAGAATTGTCAGAACCTCAAGATCTCCTCCAAGCAATAACAATAATGATCAAACGTCATTACACTGTTTCCATGTATTCTTTTACACATTTTTCTGTCCTCTTGTTATGTATGCAAGAGTACAGACTTTCTCCTCAGAGACCAGCTTTTTTCTATTATACACAGCTAACCACCATTAAGACGAAAGGTCTTTGGAGTTTCATTCAGAAGATTTCATGCTTAAAGAACACACTCAGTTACTTATATATTACGGACTTCTCAACTAATTTCTGTATTTAAACCGGTAATGAGATAACACATAAATTAAGAAGAGACAGAACATAAACTGTAAGCATTAAGTACTGAAAGCATTAGAAGGCATAGGGAACAATCTAAATCTTACTGTTAATTCAAGTCCCCTCCCTAGCCACGATTCTTGTTTTACACTTGTACTCAGATAAAGAAAAGTATTTCCTTTTACAGAGTTATATTTATTCCTTTTCTCAAACAGCACATTCTAGAAACCTGCAAAGTCAGGCTAAGGCAGTAAACATTCCTCTACACGTAAATATATGCATACCAGAGCAGTAAGTACAGCTTACTTTTAATTGTTCATAGTTCAGAAGACAATTCATAATCTAAGTCCTGAATCAGTTATACCTTATACAAAGGAACAACACTGAACAGAAGTTATTTTAAATTCCCCACAAAGCATTCTGCTATAATCAGTATTTTAAAGCTGACAGCAGTAGGTCTAAAAAAGTCTTAGCAGAGCAGAAGATACAAACAAAGCAGGTCATGTCTATTTTAAAATGCACATGTTACATTTTTAAAGCTACATTAAGTCTACATATTAATCGGAGACTAGAAATGAAGAACAAGCTCATTTGAGCAAATAGGATCTCCCTCTCACCTCTTCAAAATATCAAGTCACCACAAGCAGCTGCATTCTGAGATGGCATATTAGTCAAACAGCAAGGAGGAAACTTGAGAAGCCAGTTTTTGTCTGTTACGGAAGCCTACGTACACGAGTCCATCATGCCCTGTCTCCACAGCAGAGAATTTACCAAACTGTGGGGCCTTACCTAAAGATACTCTTGAAAAATCAAGCTACAACAGATGAAAGCAAATTGCTCTTTGTTAAGTATTTCACATAATTTAATGGAGAAGAGATTAATTTCATAGTTCAAAATCTTCCTGAAGTAGAATACCAAATAACTTGAAGAGAAACAAAATCTGTGCTTAGTTAAATTATTTTTCTCAAAATAAGGGGGGGGGGGGGGGGGGAGGAATGCCAAAGTTACAGAAAACATTACCTAGATGGACACTTTGCAATTGCATATGGACAACTAAGTTCTACAGCTCATGAGTACCAGCAGTAAATCTTCATACACTTTGTCTTTCAAATAGCTCCCAAAAGGGTTCCTGAGGACAGGAAAGGGAAAAAAAACCCAACAGAATTTCATTATTAAAAATCTGAAACTCTATGCTCATAGCTGGTCAAATTTCCCACAGAGTTATTTATTAACAGAATAAGTGCAAATTTAACACGCTGCTTTGACAATGCAAAGTACACTTTCAGTACTTTGAAACCAGGTGGCTAATATGCAGAGGATGAAATTCATTTGAAGTACTCATAATTTTGGCTCTCAACAGCTAGCAGAATGCCTTGGTATCTTTTTTACTATAATAGTTTATGGAAGAAAAGCATAATTATCATCATAATCTTAAATATTAGAGCTGTGTGGTTTTTGTTCCTATTTTGGTATCATAGAAGTAATACTATGTCCATAAATTACAGTAATCAAGATACAAGTTTCAATACAATTTTCACTCACCGCTTTTTCTGAGTGTTTAGCAGTATATGCTACAGGATCCAAGGAATTTGGAAAAACAAACAACAACACAACAAAAAAAAAAACAACAAAAAACTTCTCACCTTTGTTTGTTTGATTTGCATTAAGCTGAGAGATCCACTTCCACATTAAAACAAACCTGCAAAATAAAACAAGAACTTACTGTACAGCTGTCATTGTTTTCTACTTGTGTCCTAGACTATGAGACAAGACAGGCAAAGCACAGAGATGAGAAATTCACAGCTACAAATGTAGTCTATCAGTTTTGTTTCAGGGTAGAAATACCAAAATTCCAGTGGCCTTCTCTCAAATACACATGTAATTTTCACATAACATAGATGTTGGTACTTTAATTAAAAAATCCACCAAGAAATCATATCAAATGTAGACACATTAAACTAAGTGGGCAGAACAGGGGGAAAAAAGTTCCATGGCAAGAAAAGCTCTACTGCATTTTCTGCTAGTGCCTTCAAAGTCACCTATCTTGAGTTCCCTGAATGGGGAACAGCACAGAAAAGGAAATTGTTACAAATGAAAGCTTTTTAAAAAATCTTTTTAGCAAAAATCATCAACATATCTGAGATTAAGTGTTAGAGGGTTTTAAACCTGGGCCTCACTAATTCCTTGCCTTTCCTCGGAAAGTTGTGTTTATTATTTTAAGGCTAGCTGGCCCATTTTAAAATCATAACTTACTTTGCCTTCATGAAGGCTGATTAATCTCAGATTAAATGCTCTATTTTCAGTTTTCCTCATGGATCTTTACAGAACTAACTATTCAAGTAAATTTTTCACTTCCTAGTGGGAGGTATCAGACTATATAAGATTTGGAAGAGACTCTGAAAGTCACCGAAGCTGCACAAAACCAAGAATGGATTTGGGTACAGCATCTCTACAGAACTGGATCTACTTCTAATGAAGACACAACAACTAGCATACAGCTTTACAGAGAGGGTTAGTCATATGTAGACTAAACTAATGTATCCATCACCAGAACTAACTCTGAAAGAGACACCTATCCTCACATACTGCCTAAGATTCCTCCCCTCAATTTGTTCACACACAGCTTTTTGATTCTGAGTTCCCCAGTCAGCCTGTAACTGTCTCAAAGCCACCTGCCTAAATTACAGAGAGTAAGGAAAGACAGACCTTTCAAAAAAGTCTTGCTGGGCAATACAAAGCAACAGAAAATAAGTCTCCAAGATACTTTCCCTAGCCCCACGATCATTTCCTAGTTATCACATTAAACCGTAGCCTTTATGCATTAATGTTATTCAAAAGATACGCTCATTTCTCAAGTTTTATTACAGAAAAAAAATTTAGTCAGGTTTTAGAGTAATATTCATGCATCCAGAGAAGCAAAAGTTTTATTTTCAAGCAGCAGTGGAGCTGTTTTTTTACAGAAAGTAAATGTAAAGGTATAGTTAAAAAAGCCCACAAAATACACGCTGCATGTATGAAGAGCCAAAACACCTTTCAAAAAATGGGAAAGAAGGTGTATGCAGGCTTTACATTATCAAACACTAAGATCAGCACTAAACCAGACATCTCAGTAAACCTGTGCACTTTGGCTGGGCAGAGTCAATCCCAGTCTAACATTTTTCTCACTGCAAGTAAGAAGTACATCAATGACTCTGCCCCTGTGCAAAACGGCTTCGCAACACCACTACAGCAATTCTCATCTTCTGAACATTGCAATTAGCTAAACGTTAGCAATAACTGTTCTCAACATAGTTTTCATGGTTTGTGATCCAAGTGCAGACAGAATCGTTGCATCAAAGGATTGAGCCCAGACAACTGTAGATCACTGTGGTAATACAGCAGGCTGTCATACAACCCGAACTGCTGTTAACAGCTTTTTCATGGAAACACATTACTTCGCGACCATTCAATTTCCTCTGTTGACATAAAATGAGAAGTCTTACCCTACACTGCCTATCTGGAGGGCCTGTACTCTTGTACTCATTGAATGTGCTCTTTGGAGAAAACTTAAATGTAAGTACTCTTGAATGTAAGAATTCTCTGGTTCGCAAGGAGCTCACAGACCACTTTGAGGGATAAATTTGGGGTTACTCTATATCTACATCTGGCACAGACAGAAAGCGAAGGGAATAGAGAAGATGGGCCATCATGATTTGGATATTGTCCAGCTGAAGGAAAGACGACAGAAGTTTCACAAAGAGATCATCAGCAAGCAAACTGCTGAAGGACCTAAGGGCTGGCCACTGCAGTCCTGTGTTACAAACTTCAAAGGGCTCTGCAGAATTAACTCCCCTTTTTGGGATTTCAAACCCACTGGTGTTCAAACCTCCACCCAATGGGAGACTGTACGTGCAGTGGCACGCAAACATCTTGATGAAGGCAGTGCAATCTGCATCGACACACCACATTTTAGCCCAGACTACTGACAGCATTGAGACTCTCACTGTTTAAAGCGACCCAACCTACAGTACTTAACCAACACTCACCTCTCAAAGGTCTTTCTGCTGTCAAGAAAGATTCCTCTCTCTCCAGCACAAACAATCAAACTCTAACACCTACTATTCTTTCCTAGGGTGTTGACATTTGGAATAACTGAGCACCTGAAGTTCTTTAGCAGGCAGATCCAAGAAAGGTAGTTCTCCAAGACTCCTTATGGAAAGGCAAAGATTTCAAAATCACAAATGTTTTGGCTCCGATGCTCCTGTCTTAATTCTCATTATCAGGAAAGGAAGTGAGAATGAAAGCCACTCTCCCTCACCAGTTAATAAAGACAACATCAAAAGGGACTCAGAAGCAGGTAGGAAATGCAGTTACAGAGCATTCACCTTGAGGCCTCGCCATTCAAAGAGTGAAAAGGGGCCCACAGCAGGTACAAGGACCACTCTAAAATGGTTAGGCTTCTGATCACGGATAAGCAGCTGCCTGTTCTGATAAGGGCAGAGAACAGGAAGTGGAAGAAAACTGCAACGGTGGAGATGGGCGATATCTCACACGTACCCCCGGTGATACTGAAGAAACATAAACGGACTGAAAGTGCTTAAAAGGACAAGCATTTCTCACTGATCGGTAAATGGGAACCAAGGCTGGTTCAGTGCTAGCAATGATCACCTTGCCCAGTGACAAAACAAAAAAGCAGCATACCAGTGAGGCTTCTTTTCACGCAACACACAGAAAAGGCCCAAGTAGGCACAAGAAGTTCTCCAGTCTGTGCGCAGTGACAAAGTCACATCTGTGGCTATTGCTCAGAGACAGAAGTACAACCCCTCAAGTGTATCTGAGCTACAGAGACACACACAGAGATTCTCAAAGAGCATTTGACAATAATTTAAAAGGCTGTATGTACAGGCTGTAAAATAATTGTTACAATTGCTACGCTATATTAGTTAAAATTTTTCATCTTTCTGGTTAGCTAGAGAATAGCTACAAAAGCTTCCATAATACTGCTTTCCCAAGTAAACAAAAGTTACAGCTGCTTCTTCAAAATTCAGGTTCATAAAGAACAACTAAGATAATTACTTTCACATCTATAAAGATCGTATCCATGAATCTTGAATCAAGCTCATAACCATTCACAATACAAGGTTTACATAAAGACAATTAATCTGAGTTCAAATATAAGTTACTACACAAAACTTGCTTAACTACTCCTCTTGTCATTAGAGCTGGATCTTATGTCAAGACTAAATTTACTTTTATTTACCTTCTATTTACATTATTAGAGCCCTGTTTGCTGTAATTAAATATCTCCTATAACATGCCCCTTTCTGGGGAAAAAGTTTGAGAAACACTAGAATGTAAAGGTGTACAATGAGTAAATAAAATCTGCAGTAATCCTGACAAGAGTTTTGATCTATTTATCTACTATTTAGCCCTTATATCCTAACAGACCTGTGATAACTGACATTTCTACATCTATCTGGGAAAAGACTCTTAACCATCTTTAACCACCACCTTCTCCTGAAACGGCTGCAGTCAGGAACATAATTCATAGAGAATTTTTTTGGTGGCATTTTTTGTTTGTTTGTCTGTGGTTGGTTTTTTGTTGTCTTTTTTTTTTTTTAATAGAGTTATAACATAACACAAAACTAGCTTTTGCCCCCATAGCTGATGATGCTTGTGGGGGAAAGAAAGAAGAAACAAAGGCTAGAATAAACTATACTATACGAGCTACTTTTGTTGGTATAAGCTGTGGCTAAACAGTCCATGTCATTAGCTTAACATAAAACCACAGCAAAAGGCTTACAACTGTCATCTTGACTTCAAGTACTTTCTGGGACTTACAAAATGTGATTCCTTGGTTGAAACTGGCATTTACATTTATCAGGATACTGGTGTCACAGCATTAAAATGTGCTAAATCCAAAAGCCAGGAATGGGGAGAAATTTCCTTCTACTATCTGATCCAGCTCTGGAAAACGTCCATAGAAATCTAATAATCCTAAGAATCAATGCTGGAAAAAACAGCCAGTAGAAAACAGAGATTACTCTAAGAAAAGGCTATTACAAGAATCCCAGAAGAAGCTCCAGCTAAAATTGTACACACAACTACCAAGGATAAAGTAATTTCAGAAGAAGACTGAAAAAGCAAAAACTTAGCTGACAATAGTCTCCTAAATCAGTTATTACAGCTGAAAAGCTCTTTAAATACAAGCCTATACTGCCATTTTCCCAACGACTAGTCAACGATGACCTTGTCTGTACAAAATGTAGTTTCCTGCTTTCTGTTTGTACAAGGAACTTTGATGCACTTTGATTTCTATTAAAAAGTATAAAAATAACTTAATCTACATTCAGTACCCACAAATATCTAGAACTAACATTCAGCGTAGATTAATTTAAATAATCACTCGAACTTAAACATGAGGTTTTCTAAAAACACAAAATTAATTCCCTTGGAGAATTTGTAAGACTTCTCTCAATCTGTGCTATTCCAACTGTAGTTTAACCAACTGAATTATAAATGCCACAATCAAATTTACCAAAATTAAATTTGCAAAGGAAAAATAACAATCACGCTTCTTACAACAGTTAAAGCAAAGCAATATTTAAGTGAAGGTACCCTACTGAAGCCTGACTTACCCAGAACTCAAATTAAGCAAAAACTTAACACTTCACAACATGAAGAGACAAAATTTAAGTCCTTTTACTGGAGATGCTTCTG